CAGGACTGGCCTAGGGTAATTTTTAGGGGGGTTTTAATTATATTTTAAATTCGACAAATATTTAATATTCTTTTTAATTAATTTTAAATTTGTATTGTTTTGTATGTATTTTAAATAGATTGTCAGCCGCCCTGAGTCCTACGGGAGAAGGGCGGGATATAAATTCAAATATAAATAAAATAAATAAATAAATAAATAGACAGTTAAATTAGACAATAGATGGATTAGATAGATAGATAGATAGATAGATAGATAGATAGATAGATAGATAGATAGATAGATAGATAGATAGATAGATAGATAGATACAGACAAATTAGACAATGGATTAGATAGATAGACAGAGATAGATAGATAGATAGATAGATAGATAGATAGATAGATAGATAGATAGATAGATAGATAGACAGATGATATAAGATATAGAGATAGACAGATGATCGATTGATGATATAGAGATAGATGATATAAGATATAGAGAGATGATATAGATAGATAAGGTAGATGATATAGACAGATAAATTAGACAATAGATGGATTAGATAGATAGATAGATAGATAGATAGATAGATAGATAGATAGATAGATAGATAGATAGATAGATAGATAGATAGATAGATAGATAGATGATAAATTAGACAACAGAGAGAGATGATAATGATAGATATAGACAGATAAATTAGACAACGGAGATTAGATAGATAGATAGATAGATAGATAGATAGATAGATAGATAGATAGATAGATAGATAGATAGATAGATAGATAGATAGATTAGACAACAGATGTAGATAGAGATAGATTATATCGATAGATATAAGATAAATTATTAGACAATAGATGGATTAGATAGATAGATATCGATAAGTAGATAGATAGATAGATAGATAGATAGATAGATAGATAGATAGATAGATAGATAGATAGATAATAAATTAGACAACAGATATAGATGATAGATGATATACAGACAACAGATATAGATATACATATAGACAGACAGACAGATGATAAATTAGACAACAGATGTAGATATAGAGATAGAGATAGATACAGACAGACACAGACAGATAGAAGATAAATTAGACAACAGATGTAGATATAGATATAGATATAAACAGACATAGATGATAAATTAGACTACATGTAGATAGAGATAGATAGATGATATCGATATAGACAAATTATTAGACAATAGATGGATTAGATAGATAGATATAGATAGATGATAGACATAGACATAGATAATAAATTAGACAACAGATAGAGATAGATGATAGATGATATACAGACAACAGATATAGATATACATAGATATAGACAGATGATAAATTAGACAACAGATGTAGATATAGAGATAGAGATAGATGCAGACAGACACAGACAGATAGAAGATAAATTAGACAACAGATTTTTATTTATTTATTTATTAATTGTATTTATATCCCGCCCTTCTCCTTTCGGACTCAGGGCGGCTGACAAATGATAAAAAGCTAACAAATTACACCTAGTTAAAATTTGATTAAAATGAAATATTTGAAAATGTCAAATTTAAAAGTAATTAAAACCCCTATAAAATCCCCTAGGCCAGTCCCGCTTGNGTACCCTGAGGAGACCCACTCTGTGAGAGCGTACAGGTCGGTGGGGGGTAATCTGTGGCAGGAGGCGGTCTCGAAGGTAACCAGGTCCGGTGCCATGGAGCGCTTTAAAGATAATAACCATCACCTTGAAGCGCACCCGGAAGGCCACCGGTAGCCAATGCAGCTCGCGCAGAAGCGGCGTAACGTGGGAGTGACGAGTAGATATAGATATAGATATAAACAGACATAGATGATAAATTAGACAACATATGTAGATAGAGATAGATGATATCGATATAGACAAATTATTAGACAATAGATGGATTAGATAGATAGATATAGATAGATAGATGATAGACATAGACATAGATAATAAATTAGACAAGAGATAGAGATAGATGATAGATGATATACAGACAACAGATAGAGATATACATAGATATAGACATACAGATGATAAATTAGACAACAGATGTAGATACAGATATAGATACAGACATAGACACAGATAGATGATAAATTAGACAACAGATGTAGATAGATAGATAGATAGATAGATAGATAGATAGATAGATAGATAGATAGATAGATAGATAGATAGATAGATAGATAGATAGATAGATATAGACAGACAAACAGACATAATAGAGATTAATGGATGACATAGATATGGATGGATGATAATCAATATGATGGATGAACAAGAGAGAGATGATAGATGTCAGTACAGATAGATAAAAAAAATCTTTTGTATGGTGGTTGTGAGGCTGTGAAGCAAACGACGCACGACTGAGGGTGCCCCAGAAGTCCCGCCATTATTACTCTGATGCAGAATGTGATGCTGTCCTTGTGTCTACCTGGGCAAAGCAACACACAGATCTCCATAACAAACACACGACAAACATCGGTCTTTGAACACTTTATTGGCATCCCGGCAGAGAAGTCCTTCAGAGCGAGCCTGGGGGGGGGGGGTCTAAACATCCTCCTACACCCTTCCCTCTTATTCTTTAAAAACCAGGGGGATTCTGGGAAACTCTAAAACTTTCTCTCTCCAAGCTGCTGTTGTCCCCGACGTAGCTTCTGGGCTTCGCGTTGTGGTCTTCTCCGACGAGGGGGTGGTCTGCTCCATGGCTGGTGACCAAGGAGGGCTTGAAGTGGAAGACCCCCCCCAGGAGGTTGAGGTCCCGCAGAAATTCCCCAGGGAAGTGGGCTAATGTCCGCGGCTGCTGTGGGTCCCTCTTGGGGAAGAGTCTTAAGCCTGGTCACGGCATCCGTCAGGACGCCAGAAGAAGACCCCCTGTTCGGGCACCGTGACACTTAACGTCCCCTTTCCCCAACCGTTAAGCCTTCTCCGTGGTCCGCCCAACATCATTGATCCTCTATAGATAGATGTACGTTCCCGTACAGGCCGAGGGACTGATATTACGTCTCCTACTGATCTACGGTGTCCCGTACAAGTCAGAGGACAAGGCCCCTCGCCCCGCGCGCGGGTGGGATGCAGAGGCTGTCCTTTGCACCCATCGCACGGGAGCGACTCCCCTCGATTGCCTGTGTGGGCGTGTCCTGGTTTGGCCCCTCCCCCTGGGAACCCCCAGGGCTTTCTCTTATCCACACGCGGCAATCCGCGGCGGCCTTCTCACTTTTGCTAAACGTGTACTCAACCGCTATCGGAGAGACAGGTTCCCAGGCAAAGTCGTGGTTTAAAGGTCACAATTGGACACACACACACACAACGTGGCGTGTAATCCAAAGCCGGGCCAGGGGTCAAAAGGAAACCGGGTTGCCCATCGCTCCCTCCCCAGGTTCTCCGCGAGAAGAATTTGTGGACAGCTAGGTCCATAAAACTTTCCCACTCCCTCGTTTGTCACGGCTACTCTGTAGTTCTTCTCTGCATGCTTCTAATTCTCCGGAGGAAAACGGCAGGATTCTCACTCGATGCTACGTTGCCAAAACTACTTGGAGACTGTACAGGGTGTCCAGAAGCCCCCCTCCCCGAAAAAACAAACAAACCACACGTCGGTGGATTTCTGGACAGCCGTTTCAGGGATCCGGAGTGGTCCACCGGTTCCAGGGCTACGGTGAAGAATCAATCTTGGCAAGATCTCCCTTTGGCTAACTGCATGTCGGAGAGAGCCAGGGCGTGGATCAGATCCTCCAGCTGGTAGAAGGTCTGGAAGATGTTGGGCGACACGGCGTGGCACTCCAGGTAGCGCCGCAGCTTTGCCAAGCTGTCCACGACGTCCGGCTTGGAGGGACAGGAGAAGAGAGACGGTTCCTCCTTCTCCTCCTCTTCCTCCTCCTCCCCTTCTCCTCTTGCCGAGTTGGGTTCTTGCTCCTGAGGGGTCTCCCTGGTCGGGTCCACGCCCTCCTGGTCTCCGAAGCACTCCAGCCCTTCGTCCATCAAAACGAACTGCTCAAATTGGTCTTGGTCCTTGCAGCCCAGAGCTCGGACCACTTCCAATGGCGGGGTAAGTAGACGGGGGTTCGCGCTGAACCCGGCCGCTTTGAAAGAGTTGGCGATGGTTTGAGGGCAGACCTCGGACCAGGCTTGGACCACCAGGTGGACGGCATCCAGGAGGGTGAGGAACTGGGAGAGCGGGCCCGTGGAGGGGCTGGAGGCTTTGCCGTGGTCCTTGACCAAGAGGTGGGTCAACATCCTTCTCCGATAGTGGCACTTGAAATTCTGGACCACCCCTTGCTCCAGGGGAGGCAGCCAGGCGACGTGAGGCGGCATGAAGACCATCTGGACGTTGGAGAGCTCGGCGTAGGGGTGGGCGCCGCACTGCGTCACAAAGAGGGCCACGCGCCTCTCCTGCTGCTTCACCTCCTCGTTGAACCTCTGCAGCCACTCGGAAAAGATGGCCGGGGTCATCCAGGCCCGGTTTTGAACCCGGTAGGTGGCAGAAGACAATCCCCGAAGGCCGGCAAACGGCCGGGCGGCCTTGCCCACTATCAGCACGTCCCTCTTATCCGAGCCGTCCATGTTGGCGCACAGCAAGATGGTCAGCTGGTCCTGGCCTTCGCCGCCGCTCCGGGACGCCAGGTCGTCAGGGGTGGCCCGAAACAGCATCCCCGTCTCCCCGCAAGCATAGACGTTGGGAAGGTCGTAGTGGCTGAGGATACACGGCAGCGTCGTACTTTCCCAGCGACTTTCGTCTTCGTCGTCGTCCTCCTCCAGCACTTCCCGGTTCCATTTCTCCGGAAGGGCCCTCCGGGAGCTCATTTTGGGCTTGGCCGGGGAGCCGTTCGGCCACGGAAGGGTGGTCTCCAAGCCGGCTTCTCCCCCTCCGAAGGCGATTTTCTCTTGCCAAAGTCTCCCCTCCGCCGGGAACGGGTGTCCGCAGCTGCGTTCGAACCACTGCAGGAACGTTCGGTCGCCGCCGGGCGGAGCTCTGTCCTCCAGCTTGCGTTTGCGAGTCGGGTTGGGGTTTTTACCCCACTCGGTCAGGATGCGCTCCTTGTTCTTGATGATACGGCAAATTTGGGGCTGGGAGACCCCGAAGCGCTTGGCCAGTTCGCTCTGTGAGACCTTGGGCCCTTCCAGCATCTCCAGAACGCGGACCTTCTCCTGCAGAGAGAGTTCTTTACGCTCCTTGCGCTGCACCCCGGCTTCGTTGCTGAGGGCCGGCCCCTTCTTCCGGCTGCCGGAAGGGGCGAAGGGGTGTCCGGCGGCACAGCCCCCCTGTCCGGCCGCCAGCGCCATGTGCTCCATGAAGCTGCGCCCGCAGTCGCCGCAGATGTAGGAGTTCTGCCCGGCGTGGTGCTTGGCCTGGTGGGCTTCCAGCTCGGATTTCTGGCCGAAGTTCTTCCCGCATTCCAGGCACCAGTGGGAGGTCTCCCCCAAGGGGGGTCTGCAGGCCCGAATTAAAGGGTTCACCCTGTAGTCCAGGAGCACGACCTCCTCGCTGGCGGCCCCGGGTCCCACCAGCTGCAGGGGCTCGGCGCCGCTCAGCTTTTGGACGATCTGGTGGAGCCCGTTGGTGGCACATTTCGAAGCGCTGGCGGCCGCCAGCCGGCTAAGCTGCGCCTCCAGTCCTTCCTCTTCCTCCTCTTCCTCCTGTTTGATAATGGTGGGGTGCCAGCTCTCTTCTG